AATATACAAACCAGCATGTGAAGCATGATGAGGAAATTACACTCCCTTTCTTTTTTGGAATAATGCTTTATAAACCTCAAGTACTTCATGTTGGAGTTCTTCTTGTGACCACTAAGGGGCAGCATAAGACCAACAGAGGACACAGCTGGGACCTCCTCTATATTCAGTCATAGGGCAAACATACATAACAGTAAATAAAAATTCAATATATAACTTATAATGTGACTATCCAGGTCAACGGGCTCGACATGCAGGGGGCTACCCACCACGAGGCAGTCAGCGCCCTCAGGAATGCTGGGAGCTGCATCAAGATGAAAGTGCTCAGAGAAAGGTTGCTACCTCGAGAGGTGTGTGACCTGGACATGCCTCAGGATCCTCAGGATCCTCAGGACATGACGAGAAGACAGCTGAGCAGCCAGGACCAAGGAGGTCTCAGAGGCAAACAGCCCAAGATGGAGAGCGCAGAGCCTTGTGTGTCCAAGAAGACTGAGCCGGTTGTCTGCAATGGCAACGGCATTGTGGGTGGTTTACGCGAAACACAGCATGAATAAAACACACTTTTGAAATTTCTCCACAGTTTGTTCCTGAGGCTATATGTGGATACAATACTCTTTCAGTCAGTCTTACAAAGCTTTCTTTTTTTCTTGTTTCAGTCAAATTTAGAGAGTGACCTAAAAAGGACCATGTCTGAACTGGAGGTGTTAACAAAAAATGATTCACTTCAAGTGGGACAACATTCAATGACCGTAAGCAGATTTCTTTTCCCACATTATGATATACAGTCCAACATTTTGTCTTAGCCTGAAGTCACCTCATTTTTAGCTTTTCCTGAAATCAGAAATTGTGTAGAAACACCAACATTTGAGAAATACACAGCACGGTTTTTCTGACACTGCAGCATCTACTCATCAAATCACTTGACAGCTTGCTTATTTTTCTCCTCAATACCTTTTTCTCCTCTGGCAATCATTTGACAGATCCCTCGGATCATCCTCACACATCCCTCTACCTCAGATGAAGATGTGGAGCTCTTGATGCAGAGCTCCAGCAGAGATCTACTACATGACATTGACAAACACATGCAGTCTGACTGTTGTGACAGTGCTTTCTATCCCCTTTGACCACAGCTTGGAGCTACATAGATGAAGGACACTGGCTGCTGCTCTCCAGCTCATTGTTTTCTGAGGCATTTTCAGTGATGTTACTGAGGAGGATTATTGTGAATCAAACTGTTGGAATGTGTTTTTTACTGTCATGCAAAGCTTTTTGCCTGTCAGATTGAACTGCTGCTAATAGAATTATATTAAAGCCATTTGCAAGGAGGGAGAAGATAAAGACAAGTTCTTCTCAGTAGAGACTGTAAAGCACTCTAATGTCCAAATGAAACACACATACGATTAAATACAATCAATTAAGCAATGAATGATGCTGGCTACCTCTGCTTCACACTGCTGTGTGTAAGTTATGCATGTGCTGGCACATAGTGTCTCCACCCGTCACAGTGTGAAGCCCTTAAACTTTTTATAGTTTGTACTGAGATAAAATGCCACATGGTTGAATACAGATCACAACAGGGAGTCTGCAACCTGCAGCCTCCTGAGACAAACTGAGCTCTGCTTCACATCTTCACACACCTCTGCTGTACGAGCTAAATGCAGACTTGTGAGATAATACGCTGAAAAGGAAGAGATCAGGCATCACGCAGGAGAATTTTTGTAATCTCGCTCTCAAAGCTTAGAATGTGCAAACTGTAGATGTACACCTGCCTTGTATTATGTGACAGCTTTTATATTCTCACAACAGTTAATTGTTCAGTGTTCACTTTGTTAATAAAGTGCAAATTTATTGTTCCGAGAAGCTTTTCTTTTCACTGAGCTGGATCCATATTGATGTTTATACTATGTGCAGCACAGTGCAACTCAGCAAAAAAAAAAAAACCCTGCAAAAAGCTATATTTCGTTAGCCTCATAGCATACTTGCCTAAGTCATATTTTCATGTTTTTGTGAAATTAGAAAAAACACAATTTTTAGAAATGACATTGGTATTTATTATTGATTTTTTTAACGGTACATTCAACCAGATGTGATTGGCCAATGACATAGGTAGAAAGACAGGATGATGCAGAAGTGATAGGAGAGTAAAGTTAGGCAAATATCTCAATTTGACCAAAAAATGACGTAGGCAATTATGCTATGAGGCTAACGATTTAGATATTTTGAGGTTGTGATGTGTGATGATGTTGTACCGGATTGCACAATATTGCACAAGTGCTCATGCTATTGTTGCCACACCTTGTGTGTTTTCACTTGCTCACATAAAAATTGACACACCAGCTTGTTCTGTATGTGAAAACTACTGGGTGATAATCCACTGGGGAAATAACTTGTTGGAAAGCGCATTCTGTGTGTGAAATTCAATTCGGAGTCAATTACTGGCAGGCTCATACTGTGAGACTTGGTCTGTCTCAAGAGGCAGTCACATAAGACAGTGGGAGACCCTGAGGAGAAAGAACACAGATTTGGATGACTCTGTGATAAAAGTGGCACTATGGGAACATTGGCTTTAGAACATGATGGCATTTTTTGATATGTGCTGGTATTTCAGCAAATAGTATGCATGTATTTTCCTCTGTAATTCTTCATTTATTGAGAATATAGGCTATTGATTCCATTTATTGATAGCAAATTATTATATAATGATGCTAAATCTAGTGTAGTGAATTTTAGTCTTCAAATAATATATCAAAATAGGGTACATTCCTGAAAAATTATATTGTTTTATTTAGCTTTTTGCTCCTGTGACATTTTGACTCTCTATGGAATCATCCATCCCTCCATTATATATAAAAAATATCAATCCTCACTGCTGGAATCTATCACAGCTGACTCAGAGTGAAGGCAGGGGACAGTCTGTGACAGGGCTACACAGAGAGACAGACAATTTAGAATCACCAATTAGCCCTGTTGCTGCACAGGGAGAACATGCAAATTCCACACAGAAAGATCCTATAGATCGTGTCCTAAACGGGACGTTAACTGGGGATCTTCTAGCTGTGAGACAACGGTGTTAACCACTGATCCACTGTGCAGCCCACTATGGAGTTGTTTTATTTTTTTCTTTACGGCAATGTGAAGTCCTGCACTGCTACGTAAACAACACAACGGTGGTGAGAAGCAGGGGGAATTCAAAAATGTCTTTTGTACAGTATCCATCCATCCATTATCTATATACCGCTTAATCCTCACTAGGGTTACAAGGGGCTGGAGCCTATCCCAGGTGACTTAGGGCGAAGGTGTTTTATCAAGTTACATTGATGCAGTTCTGTCTCAGGGCCATCAAACATAAGTGTCCCTTGCTATTGTTGTATAGTAACAACACCAACAACAACAACAAGTTTTCCATCACTGTTTGGATCAGACATGCTTTTTTCATTCCTATGACAACACTGGACAAAAGCCAAAGAAAAACAATCATTAAAAAGTTATACAATTCAATTTGAGACCATGATAGATTCACATGTTCGCAGTCTATTTATGTGCATCAAACATGGTACAATGTGAGTCGTTTTGATGCCTAACCGTAACTAAACAGCAAATGACAATGAAACCTAAAGTCTAGAAATAATGATTTAAACCACAGTCCCCTGGGTGAGAATCTTGTGTCAGGCAGTGCTGTTGTGTTTCAGGAATAAGGAACTTTTCTTGATGATAAAAGTTAATAGTAAATATCAGATGTTACACACCCAGATGTGAGTTTCTGTCTTTTCCGTACATACTAGATATGAACCAGGGGAAACAAGATGAAATAGCAGTCATTTCACAGATTCAAACTGTAATTTAAGACTTGTTGTTGCCAGTAACTTGATGTTCAAAAGAATTTTTCACATCAGGCACTTGTGAGACACTTCACATGTCGAACCCCTCCACATGAATATTCAATCACAATTTTTCTGTGCAGCATCAGAATTGAAACAAAGAAGACCAGGCGACAGACAGACAGACAGACAGACAGACAGACAGACAGACAGGGGGAGGGAACACAGCCGGGTGGAAACAGACAAGAACAGCTGTGACAGGAATGAAGAATGTAGTGTACGTAAAGGATTAGCATCCACTCCAGAGGTCTGCTTTCACTCGCTGATAAGGGAACAGAGAAGTCGATGTGGTGCCAAACAAACAAGCAAATGAATTTGTTTCAAGCTGCCTGATGACTCATTATTGAGAACATAGTGAGAAGTCTGCGAGATCAGTCTGCTGGCTGGAAAAGGTTTCGATTATCAGGAGGATAAAGGAACTGCTCATATTATTTATACAAATTTGAAAACATTGTTCTGTATTCAAAAGTGCATCTTTTCTGTTTGATCAAACTGCTTGAAGCCCTCGGTGCTTTGGACTTGTGGACACTGAGCTGTCACATGTGCTGAGTTCAGACCAAAGTGCCTTTATTTATTTTCTCTTCTTTGCCATCACAAGGCGAAAAACTGGCTTTCATGAATTTTTCATGTCATAATTAGAATGCACAGACTGTATATACATGACATAAATAAACAATGATTAGCTTCCCTTAAAGAGAAAGAGAAGACACACTCTATATTTTTAATTTGCTGATGCTTATTTTCTTCCACTGTCCATCAATTACGCCAGAATCTCATAATTTTTGTGTGCTCTGTCCTCAGTCGTTCAAGGATTTTGTCATGTTTTATGCATGATTGCCACAGACTGTAGATATGACATGAAGGATTCGTGCTAAGAAAGCAATACACAACTCATTCACAGAGAAGTGAGGAAGAAGGAGGCGTGTATTTTAGAAAATTAAAAAGTAGTAAAATAGAACAATTACGGTTGTTTTACCCTGAGTGTGTGTTGCTTGTAGCTGCTGCCGTGAACATTGTTACTGGTGGCCAGCAGACAGGCTGCTGTCTGCAAGCTATTTGTGGCTATTATGTGTCTATAAAAGGAAATCCGCAGGGCGATACACACGCCAACAGTAATACACTTTGAACTTGAGGAGAGGGGCTGAAAAGCGGGCATCTTGCTTTCCGTATCTGCTTTGATCAACATTTGAAGTCTTGTTTTAATGAAGCCGGGACACGAGCTACGCTTCTGGATGGACAGGAGTCTGAAGCAGAAATGGCCAGTTTGAATAAGAATGTGGGAAAGGTAAGAGGGTTTGGAATTGGATTTTTTTCTTTTTTCTTTTGAGTACATGTGAAGCTTTTTCTCGGGTATATTTGCTGCAAGGCTGAAATAACTTTACTGACCTGCCTTTGCTTTCTACTGACCTGTATAGCTGCATTGGGGTTTCTGGCTTTATGCTCTTAGATGAATATTTTACCTCAAAGCGAAATCCTGCTGGACAGAAAAAAAAAATAAATAAAAAAATGAAACCAGGAATTTGGTTTAAATGCAGCAGCACTATTCGCACTAACCAGACCCCCCGCTGCTCCCAGCTGGTGCCACCTTCCAGGCTTACTCACATAAACACATAGGCTGGAGACAGCTTATACCCACACACGGCTACTTGATACTTACCTGCTACTTCCCGTCACACTGGGCTCAACACCAGCTGCCAAAACTGTTTTCACATGAAACCGAATGCTTCACTTAGAAAACTATACATTTCTTCACAAGTATTAAAGTTTTTGCACCAAGTTGACATTAATATCTTACGTAATATCTTAAATATACTTCACTTTTCAAACCTTTTCATATTGTAGGACTGCTCTTTATGTTTATACAGACACCTTGATGTCATTTTCTCCCAGTGCATGCTGCTGTTCAAAATTACAAGCCCTGATTGAAATATGTAATTTTTGATATTTTTGTCTGTGTTTGACTTGTAATCATAATATTTGTTTATAATCTTGAGAGATACAGCCCTGTGTGCGCAGTAGCAGCTGGCAGTGGGCTATATTTGCATGCCCTATCTGCTCAGGAGGGAAGGGCTGTGTGTTTGTCTGTAATTAAACTCTTTACTTAGTGACACGCCCAGCTGTTTACGCTTGCAGTGGTGCAGTGTGAACTTCTCTGATATAGATTTTATCATCCGTGATGCTGTAAACCCAACATTTACTGCAGTAATAATGAGACCTGAAGTGAGCATTCTAAATAAAAAGTTCAATATGTGAATAATTAATGTCAAATATTTGGAAATTATAGGATAAAGGAGGTAAAGCCGTTTAATAATCGGGGCATCACAACCTTCACAAGCAAGGGCATACTTAGCATTCATTCAGTAGTTGTTATTTTCCATAAAGTATATTTGTCACTTTCTCACAGGTTACTGTTTATGTGAGTCTCTTTAAAGATCGTCCCGCAGGGTGGTCTCCTTCAGGAAATGATTTAGTGCCGCTTGTAGTGGCTCTTTGAGCCCGGTCCGGCATGCCACAAGGAATAACTGCGTGAGGGCACGCACACAGTGAGGCGACATGTAGCACAGTGAAGCAGTGGTGGGCTGGAAATGTGATCTATGAGGACGGCATGACCTCGGCAACAACTCAGCGCAATTAAACATTCAAGGGGGCTCCAGTGGGCGAGTAGGAAATGCTCGTTTTAACCTTTCACAGTGTAAACTTACCCTGCTATGACTACAGCGGACGAGCAAACAAGGCGGTTTCGTAATAACAAATACATAAACAACTTTATAAGATGACACGTGATTTTTCCAGGCCAGGAACTTGTTTAGTTTCTTTATTTATAGCTGATCACAGATACACTGGTATCTTGAAGATGGATATCTTGGCCCTTGAGAGCCTAATGGCTCAGGAAGTCACGAAGAACATGGCAGGCAAGGAAAGTGGTGGAGGAAGTGCTCAAAAAGTACTATATGCAAAATGTACCTTAAAGTAAAACCAAATGAGAGTGGTGGGTGCTAAATCATTATAGTGATATTTGATTATGCCTTATTGATAATGAATTAACATGTAAGCAATTTCTGAGTGTTGTAGTTGGTTTTACAAACTCATCATAACTGTGAACCTCTAATTTAACCAGTAATTGTGTAAAAGTCGAGAAAAATAGCAAATTAGACTGAAAAACGTGCATAAATATGCATATATCACTCACACTTTTTTCATTTATTCGACTTATATTTAAACTCTGAGTACACTGAGGCCTCATTTACAATCTGGTCGAGTAAGAAAACAAAAGATCCAGACACACAAATCATAAACCTAATAACAATAACAACAAAGAAATATTAAAAAGCGAAGTTAGTAAAACAATAAAAACCCTAACTAGAACATTTTAATTTCAAAAACAAATGAATCAACTAAGACAGGAGCAGATTTAAATAGATTTAAATGAAATTGAAAAACTTGAATTGATCTGAGGATAAAAACGAGTCCAGCTTTGCACTGTTCTGCAGGTTATTTCAGGTCGGCGGTACACAGTGGGTAGACTTTTCAAGCTCAGCAAGAACACAGTGTTCGTTAGGGGCCCACATCTAAAGACAGAGCGGTACCTGCAGAGAGGGAGGGCCACCTGACCTTAACATACAGCTCACAAATGAGTATTATAACTGAATGGTAATGCAGAATGATAAACAGGGTCAGAGGGCTTAAGAATTGCTGCTGATGCACACGTGTAAAATGTCACCGTAATCTGACACTGATAGAAAAAGCTGCCTCAATAAGCATCTTGCCCTTCTTTGGATTATATAATGAACCAGAAATGCCACAGAAAAAATAACGATCCTCAGACAGCACATGCAGGCACATATTGTGTCCATACATGTGATGTAACAACGAGGTAAGGTTCTATATTTACTTGGCTTTCACTGAGAAGTTCATTGGATAAGAAGCATTGTTAACCTAAGAAGCTGACTGCATCCTGGCTTTTATCCTGTTAAAGATGAGAAGCACCTAAACTTTGATCTATGGAATTCAGAACAGATTTTACCACTTACATGTGTGACTTTCCTTTCTCCTCCTTGCTTTATTTTATTTCCATCACTGCTGCATTCATTAACTCTTTATGTGTTGTAATCAGTCCAGCCAGAACACAGTGTACAGAGTAACAGCAGTGCTTCTCCACTTGCTGAATCATCACTGCTTTTAAGCTTCCAACAGACACGGCCTCTTTAAAAACATTTAAAAGCGCTATATAGCACTCATAATTGGTCTTACGGTGTTTAAAATAATCCACGGACCGTTTTGAAGAAAGAAAACAAAGGCCGCCCATTCAGACTCTAAAGCCTTGCAGAAACGGCAGCGATTTCTTTGAAAAGCTCATTCATGAATAAGACATACATTTTAATTGGATCTCGGAAGACACACGGACAGAGTAAAGTGTCTCCAGTAGTTTTTCCTCTGGTGGATTGCTGTTTCTTGGCAAATAGCAATGTGACTCTGGTGTATGAACTGAGGCCTTACAGTGATAAATGAGCATTTGACCCTTTCAGCACAAACACAATGGAACAAAGAGTCGGCCTCGGTGGTGCACCTTGAGGTCTGTGGAGGTGTTGAGTGAGGAAGAGGAGCGCATTACCTACACAGTAAAAGATTTGGCTTCAAAGTCTAATACACATCAGAAAATGACAGAAGAATCCAGCGTTTAAAATAAAGTTCTGCAAATCTTATCCGTAAGCAATCTTACCACAGTGATCTGTCACAAGACATCACGAGATAAGAGGTGAGGTAGAACCTAACATGCTCATTTTCCGACTGTACCTCCACATCGACGAGCGCCGGTCGTGTGATCCATTTTTAATTGGGGCTGAAGGCTCCGCTACAATGACCTGCGCTGATTAGTGGGAGAAATTTCAAAGCCCTTTCTCTCCAGTTCACATTTAGGAGATGACCCCACAACGCTGCAGAAGGAGGAAGTGTGATTAGTAAGCAGCAGAAGCCCTTTTGATGAGTGTGCGCTTTGATTGCTGCGGTGGGAATAAATTAGAGGAAACATTTTCACACATCCAGACCATGAAATACCATTGAACCCAAATTGCAGAGGAAACTCTCAAACTGAAATGAGCCCTGTATTCCTCAACACATTTCCCCAAGAGCATATTTTTTGGCAGTTTATTTAAAGCTTTGTAGGTGGGAACACATTAGCCATCCCGCTTAATGCTGCATTTTAACACCTCTGATTCCTTCAAGAACAATCACAGAGTGGTATTTCTTTCTTTCCTGGATAAAAGAGACATTTTTACCCACCTATTCACATTTTCAGCCCCAATGAGAATCAACCCATTATTGCTTGTTGTGAGTGTTGTGATGTGCACCGACCTATACGGGCTCAAGAGGTCTTACTACAAGGTCACCTCTGCACACGTTACAGATGTTTCAGAGTATGGACATGCTAGTCCCAGGGGCTGTCTTCTGATGTCAAGGTAAAGTTTGACATTGGCCACTTTTGAGGGCTTTACAGAGGACACCAGATGTTTACCAATGATTGCTATTCTTGGATACCATGTGTCATAGAGCATGTTAAAACTAAAAAAACAAACAAACAAGAAGCACCTTTTAGTAATCATGTGGTGAAAAATACATCCAGGGTGCTAAAAGCCTGACTTTAAAAGGATGCATTAAAAAACATACAGCTGCATGCAACATCTCTTGTGTACATTACATATAAAAATATGACAAAAAGCAACAATGAAGACAGTAGGAAAAAACACTGTGCACCTACAGCTACATATGGGCAAATGGTAGAAGAAAATCTGTATTTTGGAAAATTGGTGTCTTCATTTTCTCGACTCTGATAATGGAATCTGCCAAGCAGCCTCTCTTAAGCTCACAGTAATTCTATATTCTTGTTTTCTTGATGGAGTAAATCGGCATTTTTAACAATATGCTTTTTTTTTTTTTTTTTGCTTTTCTGCAAAATATAAAGAGATAAATAACACTCTGATATAAGCAATTATCTTAGCTGAGCATGAGGACTGGAGACAGTGCTGATCAGTCTGGCTTATGAGTTTTGTAGAGAGAAAATGGTCTGCGTCTTTTTAATCTTCCAGAAAGTACTTTACGGTGTGTTTCTAATTCACACACACACAAAGCAGCACGGTCCAGAAACAAGATATGAGATTGTCTTAACTGAGCTTCAGAGGTGCTTGCAGGCTGCTTTATTTATTTATTTTTGTTTTTTGGGGTTTTTTTTTGTACATACTGGGATAGAGCCAGCACCAGTTTAAATGGTAAACTAAGTTGGACATAAGACTGCGTCATTTAACTCGTGGCAGAAAGGTAAACTTTGATCCTTAATTTGATGATATTTATATTAAAATTCCTTGAAATTTCTTCTATATTCTTTAGTTTTGTGGTGACACTAATTGTACACCTTCTTATTTCTTGCTGTCGGTGCTCCATGGTTCTTCATTGTAAAAAGTTTTAGTTCTCCTGATGGATGTCAGTGCAGTTGTAGATGACTGATATGCTGTCATTTGCTGTTACTTCTTTCTTTTGTTGTCAAAAGTTATCTGTTTTCACTTCATCTGTTTGAATACTTCATTTTACTTCCTAATTTATTTCTGAGGTCTGCTATTTTCACCTCTTTACATATATTATTTTAGTATTTGATAGCAATGGTGGGCTAAAACTAAGCCAACATTGACACATAGCCAAAGCCAGTTACTTCCTCAACTTACTGTGTGGATCCATATCTTCAGATCTCTGTTCTTGTTCTGCTCCTCTCTGCTAGTAAATACTACTGCTGTTGGCACAGATGCATCCACAAATGCAAATAATGTTGCAGAATTTTTAGCATTTATAGTCATAGAAGCATCCCACCAACACACTCCTTCCTCATGTTCTTACTGTACTTACATATCCCTGCATGCAATAAAATTAACACCTGATAATGTGGAAAAATGAAAAAGGGATGACTGCTAAAATATTGTGTTTGCTTTAGTGCAAAACTAGCTCAAATCAAATCATGTTTATTGTCATTTTGCTGTACATACTGTGATGACCCCTGAGGTCGTCTTGTGGGTGGTTCTAGTTCGGCTCTTGGTTCTGTGAGTGGCTGTTTAGGGTAATCAGGAGCACCTGTGACACCCAGTGTGTTCCTGGGTTACTTAAGGGCTGACTGCAG